CCCCGCCCCTCGCAGCTCTCGAGGCGGAGGACTCCCGGTCCCGGTCGGCGCTCGCGCTCGCTCTTCCTCGTCTTCGGCTCCGGCCCCGCGCGCCATGGAGAAGACGGAGCTGATCCAGAAGGCCAAGCTGGCCGAGCAGGCCGAGCGCTACGATGACATGGCCACCTGCATGAAGGCGGTGACCGAGCAGGGCGCCGAGCTGTCCAACGAGGAGCGCAACCTGCTCTCGGTGGCCTACAAGAACGTGGTCGGGGGCCGCAGGTCCGCCTGGAGGGTCATCTCGAGCATCGAGCAGAAGACCGACACCTCCGACAAGAAGTTGCAGCTGATTAAGGACTATCGGGAGAAAGTGGAGTCCGAGCTGAGATCCATCTGCACCACGGTCCTGGTGAGTCCGCGCTTGCCTCGGTGCGGCGAGAGGGCGGCGCGCGCGGAGCCCCGGGATGCCTTTGGTTGGGGACTTCATGGGCACGGGAGAGGAACGTGGGCCAGGGCTGGCCTCATTGTCTGCTGGTGTAGAGGGTTTGGGAAGGTGAGCCACTCGCTTCCTTAATGTGTTGCTTCAGTTCTTGAGACTCGAGAAGCCGCTTTTCCAAGGGTGAGTACGTCTTTTTCCAGATGCTGGGTTGCTGCCACACAGTATAACTGAAACATCCGAGTAGGTTTGCTCAAAGTGAAAATCACTTTTCAGCTTCTTGGACTGGGAGACTGCTTACTGAGAAGCTTTGTGAACCCTTTAAATGTGTTTAATCCATAGGCTTCAGGCAAGTAAAACAAGGCGCAGGCACCTTTTTGATAGAGACCCTGTGATAGGTTTTACACCCAGACCTGGTCATGGAAATGTACTTAGAAAATCTGAACAGATACTTTATTTTTCATGTAAATATCTGTTGAGCTTTGCCCTGTTAAAAATGGGGGAAAAGGGGAGTTCGGTAAATGTGAAAAGGGCATCCCTAAATCTAAAGAACAAAATGTTTGGTAAATTTCAGTATTTAATGACATTCCCTTGCTATTGCATAGCTACAGTTAAACGCTAATGTGTTGGAATGAATTCATTTCTGGTGTGGAGTAGGCAAAGAAAGCTTTCCAGGTTTTGAACTGTCCGGTCTTAGCAAGGGAGGCTGTTGGGTGGAGTAGGTGGCTCCTGTGATTCACCCTTGTTAGTGAGAGAGAACATTTTTAGCTTTGTCATTGCAGGGATCTTTTGATCAATAAGATAAGTTTTTAAATTTGAATAACAGCATTGTATTTTGCAGTGTTTTTCAATGTTTTAATGCTGCAAAGAGTTGTTTCTATGGGTAAAATGAAAAATATCTGATATAGTTTGCCTTTCTTTAAGTGTCACTTTTACAAGAGGCCTACGGATTTTTGACGCGTTTGTTCCACATCGTACTTTTTAAAAGTACTAGAAAGACAAGCATGCTAGATGGTGGTTTTTCAAAAGGGAATAGAGGAAAAAGTTCCTCTTTCCCTCCCAGCCTTCTTTCCCTCCCATCAGACTGGTGGAGTAGGGAATACATTTTTTTCCTCCTAAAAAAAAAAAAACTGTTAACCTACCTGTTTTTTTTTTAATATGAATGACAGGTGATCTGAACAAAGTCATGGCTGGCTGATGGAAATAGCCGGTAAAGGGGCAAACAAAGCAATGCAGAAAGTACGTACCAAAGTGGAAAAAACTTTATTGAGATTATTTGTTTTATGAAGGCGAGACTTTCTTATAGTCTATTCATCTATGTGTTCTTAGCTTCCATTCCCTGCTTGGCATAGAGGAGGCACTCATAAAAGCTTTTTGATCTGAATTGATAGCATTCCAAGAAATTTGCCAACTTGAAAGTGATGGTAGGCTTCAAAAGCATATGGCAATGGTTATTGAAAATGGTATCTATTGGGCGGGCCGGTGGTTCACTTGGGAGAGTGTGGTGCTGATAACAGCAAGGCCATGAGGTATACAGATGGCCAGTTGGCTCACTGGGTGAGCGTGGTGCTGACAGCACCAAGTCAAGGGTTAAGATCCCCTTACCGGTCATCTTTAAAAAAAAAAAAAAAGAAAGAAAGAAAGAAAATATTATCTATTATCAAGGGAAGACTCCTAAGAACTCCATCTGCTAACAAAGTTTTATATATATATATGTATTTCAGGTGCTGTCACAGGGTATTTCAGTCTCTTTTTCTGTTCAGTTATTACTTTGCAGTTTGTTAGTTACCTGTAGGGCTGTCCCGTGGCTCACTCGGGAGAGTGCGGTGCTGATAACACCAAGGCCATGGGTTTGGATCCCTATGTAGGGATGGCCGGTTAGCTCAGTGGTGCTCACAAAACCAAGTCAAGGGTTAAGATCCCCTTACCGGTCATCTTTAAAAAAAAAAAAAAAGAAAGAAAGAAAGAAAATATTATCTATTATCAAGGGAAGACTCCTAAGAACTCCATCTGCTAACAAAGTTTTATATATATATATGTATTTCAGGTGCTGTCACAGGGTATTTCAGTCTCTTTTTCTGTTCAGTTATTACTTTGCAGTTTGTTAGTTACCTGTAGCAATTCAGAATTTCCACAAGATTTTTCCCATTCTATCAAGTTAACCCTGAGCCAAAGGAATATTTGGTTTTTTGGGGGGGCGGGGGTTGTGTGTGTGTGGCTTTTATAAATTTTGGGTTTTATGATGGCATAAGTAGAGATTTTTACTTAGTCAATATGTGACTTGAGAGAGAGACCAGGTATATTAGAGTAGACCTTTCATACAGATCATTTCAATAGGAGAGAACCCCTGAAATTAGGACAGTTTTTTTAATACCAAGAGGAAATAGAAGAGGTGATCTTGATTAATCTGTTACACCAAGGTATAAATAAAATATTTTATTAGTAAAGTGTCAAACTAATTGTGGCTAGATGGCCAACCTATAAAAAATATCCTGGGAAAGCACATCTTCAAGTTGGAAACTATTTGAGAGCCTGCTGTGTGCAAGGCACTGTGCTAAGCAGTATGGGGAAGAACAAAGCTGAGAATCATAGGTTTTGCCCTCCAGTAATTTATAATGTAGAGTGTATATGAGAAGTAAACAAACCTGAATAATATAAGATTTTATAAGATAGATATGAACAAAATGCTGTGTAGTTTGAAGGAAACAGAAACCTCAGAAAAGGCTTCACAAAGCTTTTGGGGTGAGCACTGAGGGAGGATTGGGGAGGGGGATGTCAGTATTCCAGGCAGAAGGAATATACAGGATAGGACTTGTTCAGGGAAGAATGTTTCAGTATGACTGGAGGAGAGTATGTGTAGGGCTGTTGCAGGAGAAAAGCCTACAAAGGAAGGTAGGAACTATGTAAGAGAAGGCCTGAACAAGGGTGTTTTACTCATTTGGTTGACAGTGGGGAGATAGGATTTTTAAATAGTTTTTGAATGGTGTGCATGTAGCAGCACCTAGAATTCATGGTTTGAGTGCTAACCAGTCTGTAATCTGAATTGATAGTCAAGGAAATGATAGGCTAGTGAACAAGAGACTAATAATTGACAAATTAGTAATTTAATAAGGAATCTATCAAAATAATGAGGATAGTGAAACCTAAAGTTTCTGGATATGCATGCTAAAATGGGGTTTTCATTTTTTTCTTCTTTGAATGTGAAAGGAGAATTTGGTGTGGAGAAAGTGGGTGAGACTGACTTGGTTATAGAAGACTAGTAAAAGAGTAACATGAAGGATAGCCAAAAATTTTATCCACAACAGCAGATTCTCAGTGTCTTCTTTCCTTTTCATTGGGTAGGTTGGGGGTGGGATTATTTGGACCTTTTATCCAAAATGAACACGGTGGACAACCCTCAACCCTTTTGATAATCACTGTATTGAGAGAGGTTATTAAACTGTGGAAGCAGGAAAAAAATCATAAAATCCAAATGAATACTCTAAAGAGCAAAGGGCCAAAATGGCCAAGACAAAATTCTCAGTGGAAATCTGAGAGAAGTTAGAGGTTTCATCAAGTTATCTCTGTCTCTCAGTGTCATTTGTAAAACCAGGAGGCTGGGCTAACATTTCTAGGTCTCTTCAAATTCTAGTATTTGGGGGCTGTAAAGTTAGATAGGTCCTAGCCATTCTGCCTCTCCTCTGACTTTCCACCCCTAAAACGAGTAGTTTTTAAAGTCCAAGTTGTGGTAGAGCACGGCCTTATAACACCAAGATTACAGATTTGGATCTACATACTGGCAAGCTGCCAAAACAAAAAGAAAAAGTCCAGATTGAAGAATGTGTCAACAATACATGAAATGTTAAAAAAAATTGGTGGCTTTAGTGAGATGGCGTTGGGAAGATTTGATACAGAAATTAGTGGTCTTAACTGAGTGTTGGGAGGAGCAAAGTTTAAGTGAAAAACCAGGCAGTGGTTAAATAGCACGTTTAAGATGCTTGGGAGTCATTAAGAACTTCGGTGTGAGATAAGGGCAAATCAAAGTTAAATGGGTCCACAAAGCCCTTCTGGGACTTGGGAACAAAATCTATCATTTACAAAGTTGGTGACCTTGGAATAAGATCCAGATACTTAGAGTGTATGTAAGGTAACCTGTATCAAACATATTATCTCTCTCCTGTAGACTAATTTTAGTAGACTAATATCAGTAGGCTGCTTCAGTATAATGCCTAAACAGTTTCAGAGATTAAAGTCATCATCGTTTTTGTTTTTGTTTTTTAAAGCAAGAATCACTTAAAATAGTGTATGAATGTAGAGAATCTCTGAAAGTGGTCTGTGTCATGTAAATTTGGTAATTATGCTTGAATTTAGTTATGTGTTCTAAAATTAATCTCTTTTCATGAAAATGTGTCTCATGCTGGTCATTTTAGAGTAAGACTGATGTTATTCTTGACAGTTAATGAATCTTAATGTGATTTTATTAACATAATGAAAAAAGTATGGGCTCTGGAATCAGAGTTTTGAATCATTGTTCCATTACCTTATGCAGTAGTTTTGTGAGCACCAGCAAGTGTCTTAATATCTCAGCCTCTGTTTCTTTATCTGTAGATTGGTGATGATGGTACCTGCCTTATTGTGGATTTACTATACACTGAGCACTATTTTAATCACTTTGTATACTCACTTTGTTCTGTAAGTTACATTGATAGTATTTCTGCTTTAAAGTTGAGGGAACTGAGGCATAAGGAAGTTAGTAACTTGGCCAAGATCACAAAGCTAGTATGTGGTAGAGCAAGGATTTTGAACCCAAGTGCTGTGACTCCAGGTGAAATTAAATGAAATACAGTAGGCCTAAAATACATGGCTTACTTAAGACCACAGTGTCGATCTCTTTTGAGGAATTTGTGCATTGTGACATAGAATTTACCATTTTAAGTGTACAGTTTTGTAACATTAAGTCCATTCACATTGTTGTACAGCCATTCTCACTATCC